GTGTCGCTCTAGAACTGTGGGGTCTTTTTATGGTGATCCCAGGATTTGAGGCTGTGTTTTCTGGTCATGGTTCCTGTGTCTTTCCCCACAGCCTAAAACACTGGGAAGGCAGACTGACATCTGCGCCACCTTTGCTGTGCCAGCCACAGCTGCTGCCAACAGCAGTATTATCTGGCACAGCATTAGAGAGAGATGGTCACCATGTGGACTCCTCTCTCTCCTCGTGCTCTTCCTTAAGCTATCAAAGTGAAGAGGACTAGGGCTGATGCTTGGATTTAAGATGAAAATATTCTTAGGTTTTATGGGGGTTCATATTTATCTCTGTCAGACTTTTCCTTCTTTTTGTTCATTTGAGGGCTTTGAGAACTAACAGCCCAACAGCATTGCTATTCTGAGGATATTCTGATATATGTCTTTCAAAAGACAAGACACCTGTGACCATACCAACTCTGGATCACCACCATCATTTCCTTCAAGACCTTTAAAGACATCAGATGAGATTGGGGTTTTTCCCCTTAGTTTCTTCATTCTGCACTGGATGCAGTTTTAGGTCCCAGAAGTAAAACCAGGCAACACATTTATCAATTCTGCTTCCCTATCTCTGCACTTCTGTCTTTCCATAGTTTCTTTTTTCTGGTTAATGTAACACAGATTTAAAAATAGAGGTACATTATCCTTCCAAAAATACACACAATTCTGGTATCAGCAGTGGAATAAGTTTATTTTGATAAAAGGAATCATTTTCTTTTGGTCGAGTGAAACACCTTATCTGCCTCTGTTTGGGTTACATTCAAGTATTATTGCCTCCCACGGTATATAAGGTTGATGTTGCATGTAAGTCATATCTTTTTGGTAAGCTGACAGAAAATATTTCCCTTAATAATTCTTCAGTGTATGCTGTTTCATGGATCACAAAAAGCTGCATTATGGAAGTAGAAGAACAGAAGGGTTTAAATGTACTCAACTAATGTATGAAACTTTTCAGCTACCTCTGCAGCTGGGAGAAATATTGTATCTGGACCACCTCTTGTTTATTCTTCACTGGAGTCAGAGTGACCAGAATCTTTTATCAACATGTTTTTACAGCCCTGATCTAAATACTGTACTTCAGGTAAAACACCCAATAATAGTGTAATGAAGAGAGTGTATTTGGAAAGGAAGAAAATGTGCTTGCTTTATGTGTCAAAAAAATGTAAACCAAGTTCATTAGTTGGCACTGTAGTTAATTTAATAGCAGATAGTAAAATCATATAATTTACATATAGGAATCTTGGCAAAAAATTGGACTGAAAATTGAAAAAATCTGCAACTTGACTATTTTTTTCTTTTTTCACAAACAAGACAAACAGTTCCTCAGACTCTTGAGTGAAGTTATTTTTCTGCTGCAGTTCAGTTGTGTAAATCCCACACATCACATTAAAAAAATTAGAAAATGGTAATGTTTTATTTTGTTCAGAAGAAAACAACGTTGTCATGTAATTATTTTTTTGCTGAGCTCTTTCACTTGACCCTGGTTGCTTATTATAATGTTTTAGGTGCTATAGCTTAGAGTTTTTCGACCCCTGCTTATAACCCATTTGTTTTATAGTTCCTGAGTATTGTAAGGATTGAAAAGATTAGTGTAAAAATTATAATTTGGTCCTGTTCAGTAGAAATGGATGTGGAAAAAGTGTTAGAGTCAATGTCTTCTTTTTCAGCTTGTATTATAAAAGCCTGAAGGGCTGCAGAAATTCAAGTTGCTCAGCATCCACTTGTGCAGTTCTGGAGAGTGTGATTTTGGATGGGCCAGGGTGAGGACTGTTTGTATGAGGGAAAACAAGGAAAACTGTTGGACAAAAAGAGCTTGTAGCAACTGCATTGGACACTTTTTTGCCTACATGTGGTTTTACAGTCTCCCAAGCAGTAGCATTGCCATAATTATTGGTAAGCACAATTTTTTTCCAGTTGCTGGTCCATGCTTCTTTAACAAAGTGTTCCATTCAGAGCAGTATCGTGTCTCATGGCAGCCACCACATCCTGATGCTGTTGTACTGTTTTGTAATAAAGTCACCACCATCACTTTGCCAGCTGGGTTTACACACACCAGTGTATGACCTACAGCCAGCGAGTCAGGTGCCAAGCTTGGCTTTGTGTGGCTGGAAGAGACTGAACACAAACGTTCCTATCTTGCTAAGGTCAAAACAGAATATTATGTATGAATTTACACCACTGCCATGGTGCCTATATAAAGTTGATGTAATAATAAAAATTCTTTTACTGAGTGAAATGAAAAGTCATCCAACATGCACATGAAGAACTAAAAAGATGTGTTAGACCTTTACAGTTGTACTGCTAAGAAAAGTCATGGATGTTTGTGCCTTCTGTCTACTCCTCATATAGGGAAGCAGCAGTGCAATGTGCCTTGCAAGATTACTTCAAATGCTTTTATCTGAACAGTCATGTTTGAAGAAATCAGGAAGCTCTCTTTGTAAGGATTTAATTTTCTGGTGTGAATTACAGAGTTTGGCACAGTATGTGAAACTTTTGTCCATATCTCGCACAAGTGGTTTATAACTCAGTCCTTCAGTTAAAGGAGTAGACTTGATACTAAAAACGGCTTACTAAAAATGACTAGCATGAACTATTAAAGGTCTACCCAAGTATTTTGAGATTGAATTAACTTTTAAATTGAATAAATGAATTTTTAAATTTAATTAATTTATTCTATATAATTTACAAGCTGAGTTTTACATTTTAATAAAAACATGAAAGCATAGAAATAGAATACAGTTGTGATACTTTCAAAGTTATTTTTACCTGAACTCATTAGGCAATAGAAGCATTTTTTCCTAGCAAAAATGTCCTCTGTATTTCTTTGTATCTAAGGGAAATTAAAGAAAGATGATGAAAGAACACTTACTGTGTACTTCAACTGGACCATGTACTTGAACTCTGAGTAGATCAAATTATGGTGGTACAAAGAAGAACAGAAGGGAAAAAAATAGATACTGTATTTACATGGATTCTAAGAAGTTGTACAGCTTTTTGCTCTCCTTGTAATACAAAAGAAACTGCGAATTAACTTGACGGCTGTTTGAAAGGATTAATTCAGAAACACAAGGACTATAAGGACTAGAAGTCCTGGAATACATTTCTAGAAGCTTCTCAAACTGTAAAAATAAAGTAGCTCAAGGTCTAGAATTTCAAAGATAAATATTTTTTTAAAATCAGGAGATGCTAGGTTGCTAGTAGGATTTTGTTCATTGAAAAAATCAGTAGATAGTTTTGTAACTTTTCTTTGCTTGATCAACTCACAGAAGTGTCCTGAACTGTTAGCTTTCTCTTGGGGACTATCACCCACTAATTCAAATGAACAAGTTTAGTGTTCATGAAAATGAATTTGTACTTCCACCTGCACTTGGTAGATCTTCCTCCTAGTATTTCAGAGATGGCTCTCTACTCCTAGCCCTTTAATTTCAGCATGTCCTCAGCAACTGAAGAGATTCAGTGAATGGTTTACTTTTCTTCCCCTTGAATGTGTATTTGCTTTGTGTTTGAAGGACCTTTTTATTTAGTCAATCATATTGCACTTTGAAGATAGTAATTTTTACTGCACCCTGTAAACAGGGGTAGTAAGTCTTAACAGTGGAGGTGCAGAAGACCTTAGTGTAACAACTATTAGTTGTTATCCACTAAAGATACATTTCAAGTTATTAAAGGTGCCTTTCTATGACAGTTGTGCCCACTGTTTGTATGCAAGGGGAGCTGGAGAAATCACTGAGATCTTCTCTGAATCCTTGTGACTTTTGTTTATACCTCTTTTTTATTCAGCTAAGGCAGGAAATATAATTAGTGTATTATGACAGTTAAAACTGCCTCAGAAACACGAGATTGACTCCCATGATGGCTGAAAAGTCTTCCATGCAGTATGTATAAACAGGCCCAGTTTTCGAGTTCTAATTAACTTTATTAATGTTTAGTGCAGGAAGTACAAAGGCAACTTAAACAAGGATATAAAAAGCACTGGAGCATCGAAACACTGGTTTCATGTAACTGACTTATTGAAAGACATATTTTTCAGCATTTTGTAAAGAAAAATAGAGTAATTTAAAAGAAAGATATTAGATACTTAATACACTCTTACAATAAGGAAGCTTTAAATAATGGAGCAAAGATACTAATAGTAGATTCCTATTTGGTAACATAGGTAGCAACTCTTTATGATGTGCAATTAATAAATATGATAGCAGACACGCAACAATGTACAATGACAGTGGGATAAAAGAGATGCAATTACACGCAAGACTCCTATTGTGCCAGCAAATAAGACTTATCAGGCTACTGGAAAATGAGTTTGGGAAAAAACAATCTTTTCCATTACATGTTCCTTTTATAGAAACATATCAACTCACATGTGAAAAGATAAAATATTACACTGGTAAATAACTGTGAAGACATTTTCCCCAACTATAGACACAACTGCAAAACCTTGCAATCACAGCAATTGTATATATTATTTTGATTTAATATTCATAACTAAGCTTAACAGTGGTGATATATTAATCACAAAAAAGATATATTATTTGCATAGATTTTTTGTTTACTGCCCATGGATTACCATTTGGTAAATACCTATATATTATCCAGCAAGCTTTGGTGCTCTTTAAGGAACTCAAGTTGGAATATGGCTGATTTATACGATACATTTTTTTAATTACTGTAATTGTAAAGGATATATTTAGGGTGCTGAAACCTCTTAAGTACAAGAATTATAGTAGAAAAGATAAGAATATATTTTCTGTTATTTACTGACCCTATTCCCAGGCATGATGATTTAACAATATTTAAAAGATATTCCTGTTTTGAGAAGCACTCAGATCAGGTGGTCAGCAGTCTGTCCACTAAAAGGATTGTGCCCTGGAATAATTTAGTTTTTCTTCTTTTCATATACTTGTTATGTAAAAACATATAATAAAAAATCATCTTGCAGTTATGTGAAAATATAGTATTGTTTTGTACAGTCTTGCAAAGAGTTTAGAAGTAGATCATCATTCATCCACAGAGAAACTTAGGAACTCAGAAGTATGAAATATCAGTAATAGAAAATTACTGTATTTTTAAAGATGTAAACTATTATTTTTCAGCTTTTATTTATCCTTTTATATGATTATTCTATAGTGCTCGCAGTCTTGCCAAGAGAGCTTCTACTTCTGGAATGGTTTCTCCCTTAGAAGGAGACCCAATACGATCTATTTTCTTTTCTTTGTTGCCTTCTCCATGACAGGCTTCCTTTCTCCCAACAGCCTTGTTCCATGCCTTGGAACTTGTTTCCACATCATATGTAACTTCTTTGGTGACTGGGCTTCTTGTCAAGTTTAAACTGATACTGTGGTGTGAACACGGCTTCTCTAGTTGCTCTTTCTGGTTCTCTGCAGAAGATAAATCAAACAAACCTTGTTTCACTATTAAAATACTCAGTTTCAATATTTTGTAATATAAAAAGACCTCTTGATCAGACAAATTTTACATGCAGATGATGCACTAGAAGGAGTAATGATTGCCAAGGAGGCACGAAAAAATATATTATCACTTCAAAAGCAGTGGGCTTGGTCCCTTGGAAGACTTTACATGACTTCATTAGATTAGCATCCATATTTCTCACAAAATCACAGATAGAGCTTGACAGGATCCTCCTTTCTTACTGGAGTCAAAGAGAAAACAGAGTACCTAGAACCTATCAGTGTCTTCCAAGGTTTTATCTGGTTAATTATATTCCCTACATATGTTTTAATTGTACAAATCTTAAAATGTATTAAAAATTCTACTTCAATTTTATTATCTGTTTTAATAACTTTCCTTTGTGAACCTTGAGACAGCTAAGTAATTTCAAGAAATTGCATTATTCACTACTTTTTGGTAAATATCACTGGCATTGACTGTCACAGGAAGTTGCACTCAGTTAATATCCAGGTAGGAGTTCTGCAGGTTTGACATGTATTAATAAACAGATTTCTTTTTTTGTCATTCCCCACCCCCGCTTCCAAATGAAGTGACTGTTCTCCAAACCAGCATATGAGTGGTCCCTCTCATAGATTTCAAACTTTTTAAAAACAAGCCTACTCAATATTCATGTAACCTTGAGCAAGGTTTGAAAATGCCTTCAACACACTTGACATGACATTTAAAGTTTTTTGGTTATTCACTGAAAGATGTTCCATCATCCCAACAGTAATGACTTTGGAGCACAGGCAGTCACTCATGACAGTGTGTTTTATGTGAGTGCTGAAAATTCCTACCGAAAACAGCTTGTACATTAAAAGGCAGCTGCTGAAGATATTTACTGCACTGTCATTCCCTGACCAGGGGCTCTCAGTGATGGATGAGGATTTTACATACTTTCTCGGACAATCTCAGCAAATTTTGTAAGTATGATCACCTTTCGAAAAGTGAAGGAATATAAACACTTCCTTTCTACTATCTTCTAAGTCAAATAAACAATTCCTAATTAAAATTTCATAAGACAAATTTTGCACTTAGCTGAAAAATGTATTTTATTTTTTACACTGTGGAAAATAATTTGACCTTGAATATGCAGCAGCACACATTTCAGTGTTCTTGAATCACAGGAAGCCAAAGACTTATTTAATAACACATATTTATAATTACATATAATAAACCCATCATATATAATTAAAATATCCCTGTTACGTACACTCTTAAATATCTCATTCGCCTTAAATGTTTATGCTTATTGATTCTGAACACATATTTGCAGGCTGATAAAAGCATGTTACCTGTGTCAATATACAAACTACTAGCTGCATCATAGATCTTTCTGTTTACATTCAATTTAAGGGCAGCAGGAGAAATTCTTGCTGCTTCAAAAATCAATACTTTTTTTTAAGTAGAAGAAAACATATTGTCATATAATAAAAGATTAAGTATAGCTGTTGGACTTTTAAAAAAGGCAAAAAGAAATTAAGCATTGAAAGTAAGCTTCTCAAATGTACCAACAACTAAATTTTAACTCCTTTGGAGTTCAGCAGTCTTCACCCCAAAATATTCACACATGAGAATCAATTAGGTGTGGTGAACTAGACTGAGTAACAAAAGTGGGGAACACTTCTAACTGAGGTCTCAAAGTAAAATCCAGCAGTAAAATTCCCCAGTTTCTCATAGTGTACAAGGGGCAGAGTAAGGTGCCTCAGAGTGAGATTTACAACAGCAAATAGTCTAAGCAGGGAACTGCTGCAAGTTAGATATTAAGAAATAGTAGCTGTTGGGATCAATCCAAACCCTTTTACCATTTTGAAACTCAGAAACTGAGGCTGCACTTCAATGTGTCCCATAAATTGCTGCCTATAATCTGGAATTGTTGCATGGGAATAGGAGAGAGTAAAGCTGAGGACAGCTGTGCCTTTTTTTTCCTTAAAACAACAGCAATCATGTTGATATTTTTGACTTTCAATGCATAGAATAAGGAGTGGAACATTCAATTTGCATGACAAGTGTCTTTCCCTTCTGTCTGAAGGGTCCTGCAACAGTGAAAAATGGAAAGTGCCTGAAATGCTTCGTTTATGTAAGTAGTCCTTGTTTCATCTCCTTTTCAGTGATGATGTCACAATTCACTAGAAAAAAATCACAAAGTCTCATGTTCTTAATACGTGAGAAGCTATATGCTAGTGATAAGCAGCACTTCCTAAATAATAAGAATGCTTTGGTCTCAGTCATGCTACAAATAATACTGAGCAGCTAATGTCAATTATAAAAAATAGCACTTGCACACACATATTTTATCTAAATCCAGTACTATCATCTCAAAGTTGTTATTTCAGCTGCTTCCTAAATCATGTGGCGCCTTTACCGTGTATATTCCTTCAATCAAGGAGAAACTTCTCCATACAGCATTGCCTAAGTGCAAGTTCAGTATTAGCATAAGTGTAGGTAGGAGTTCCCTGCTTTGTAAATTGGCTGTTGTTAATGTCATTCAGAAACACTGAACTTCGCTAGTCCTGTCTTAGAAAACATACACATTTACCTACAGCCCCAGATTTCACTTTAGTCAACATGCACCTAAAGAATTAACTGCTGTAATACTTGAGGTTTTTATTACAGTTACTGGTGGTATTCATCAGAGATCACTTCCCTTTAAATAAAACTGTAAAATTAGTTAGATACAAGCAAGGTAAAAAGTCTCACTAATTCCTCAGTTTTTTATTTTAATCCAGCAGGAATTAATTTGTGCTAACACCAAGTTCTTAAACACTCTGTACTGCGTCACAGGCTGATTCAAAACTTGCATTCATTGGTGACTGGGTACCTCATCCATTCCACTGCCCTGACTTGGGATTGTTATCACATTTCCCTCAAATCCTATGCTATAGTAGTAAACCCAGAGAAGTGTATTTTCAACATGTATCTGTTGAGGTGGGTGGTTTAAAAAGGCCAATGCACCTCACATGTGAATTTAGAACTACACAGCTGCAAGCTGCTGCAGGTTAGCATGCAACTCTGACCACTACAGTGGAAAAGCTGGACCTCCTTAGTTCAGTATGATAAAGACTATAAAGTATATAGTTATTTACTTTTAAGAAGAGTCCAAAGTCAAGATTAACAGACAAAAAAAGCACAAGAACAAACAGCCATTAAAACCTTTGAATGACCAGAGTAATGAGGTTTTGGAATTCACATATATAGAACTGAGAGCAAGAAAACATAAGTCATAAACAGGAATTTGGTCTGGTTCTGAAGACAGTATTTGATATGGCTGCCTAAATAGCAAGAAGATGGCTTAGCGACATTGGCCACCTATGTCTCTAGAACAAGGGAACACACAGAAAATCCACAAACCATATAAATATTAACAGACATCCTAAACCGGTTTGAACTGTTACATCATAGACATACATAAATTTGTTTTGTGATTGTGACAGTAAACTATATTTGAAACAAACTGCAGAATAAAAGTAACTTATTTACACACCTACATGCCTTGGTTCAAATACACATTTAAAGAAATGAATTACTAAAATTACAGAAGGTTAAATGAAAACTACTCATGGAAGGGCACTTCTGCATGAATTCTTGTTAAGAAAAAAGCTTACATTTCCGGAGATGCACTATTTGTCCACCTACTGTAGCAAGGTGTACCTTCCGGTAGTAGCAAGACAAAAAGAAATCAGACATTAAAAATCACCAGATAAAGAGAGAGCTTATTAATTTGCTGTATATACTGGAAGCAGTTGAGACAATTTTCTACTATTTGGTCACTTTTAACAATTGAAATTTGTCATTTGTCACATCAAAACAATCACTATGCAGATAAAAAAAAAAAGCAAAACCTTCAAATTAATGATTAAGTTTTCTAAACACTGGGGTGATAAGACATTTACCCATAATAGTTTTGACTTTACTGCTGGTGAATACTTTCAGGCAAGGGTTAGGCAGAGATTACATTGTACACTACTAAAGTCTCAGTGTCCAGATTCCATGACATTTAAATAATTTCTTTTCCCTTGTTCAATATCAAAACTCTTATGGGTCCTCCAGTCCTATTAAAATTTTGCACAGCTATTAATTTCCTTAACATCACTGTTAATCAAAAACATTTCAAAACCTTATTCACATAACCTAGAGTCAAATAGTTACTATCATCTAGATACAAGTCTTTTAATGGCAATGCTCAAGAAATTCAGTTGACAGAAAACTGTGCTTAATATAGCTTTCCACAGCTTATAAACGGTATCCTAACACAGAATAACTTATAACAATATGCTTATAATCTATTAAAGGCTCCATACTTCATATTCAGAAAAAGGAAATAGTGCACCAGCAGGTAAACAAAAAATACCAGTAGTATGAGACCTGCCTGCTGTGAACCCAGGGAAGGAAAATATGATCAATTGGAGATTTTAAATCCTGCATAATAGTATTATATGTTACCTTTAATAAAGAACAAAAATGATTGCAAGAGACTCACTAAAGTTGAGAAAGATTTTTTAAATTAACTAATAAATATTTAAAATTAAAAAGGACGTTGAAAAGCTTTATTTCATCACATAGTTTCTCCATAAAAGTCTTGATACTAAGGACATATTTCATTTTTATGTAAATACTTGTAAGCTGATTGAAAAATAAAGTTGCAAATACAATAAGGAGAACTGCATTACATGGCATTATACGCTTGTATTACTGTCATACATCTCAATGTAGGGCATAACAAAATTGTAACATAAGAAAGAACAATTGCAGTTACAATCTCATTACATCTCTTACCAAGTTAACAGTGAAAAACGCTCAAAACCCCAGTGGAATATTTCTGATCTCTCTGACTTGTGCTCCACATACTACATCATATTCCTGAAGCTGTGTGTATGCCAAGATTTTCTAAAGCCCACCCATACAAACATTACCTGCACTACATTTTATG